CAGCAGATGCCTGATAAAAAAAAAGAAAACACTTATTCAATCAGTGTCGAGCAAACACACAATCAGAAACTACAGTCAGGATAAAAACCCAATCACATGAGCTCCTGATAACATACAGAAAATGCCATTTTTTATGGATGTAATTGCTCTGAGTATTCAAACAACAATTATATGAATGATTCAGTTTAGTTGACTAGAAGGTTCAGATAAAGGCTCTCTTTTGTTTAAGCAAATAATCCTACAGGTTATTGTGCAATTTGAGACAAATCCCTGCAGCTTCATCATGCTATATACAGTATTTGCACATAAAACACTTGCAGACTGCACAATTTGGTCTCCAGACATTCACTCTAGTCAGAATAAGAAGTTATAAAAGAAAACACAGTATGGGACGGTGCAATGCTATCACAAGAAGACATACTGGAAGCTTTTCCTAATTTACCATGCTACTTTTAGTCACGCTATTTCTTTGGGTGGTTGCAAAAATCTTTCCACCACGGCTACCACATGAGATGACAAGAGGTCCTTTTTCAACCGTGTGTAGTATTAGCTACTATAAGTATGAGTGCATGTATATATTGCCAGTTAGACATTTACATGGTTGTCACCCAGTTGTGGTCTCTACAGGCTTTGTAGTGGGAGTGCACAATGTTTTCGGGTGTAGATTTAATCCCCAACAACACAAGTTAACTTTGGTTAAGTTTGCCTTTCTGAACTTTCACCATGCACGTATGGCACACATCAAAACTCTATCAGACACATGCTAAGTGTATAAGAGACATTAAAACCAAAAATCTAACCATGTGAACCAGGTTCATCTTAATCCCTTGCCCTGATTATGGCTACTTTTTTGAGGGCCTGGTAGCACAAAATGAACAGACACAGCCAAATGTTATCAGCATTTGACTGGTCTTGACTTGAGTCTCCACTTGCTGTAGTTAAGAGAGTTAAAAACATTAACTGTCTATGGACAACACAAACATTACACAGACTGTAAAATGGAGCAGAACAGTACCTGTACTGGGCATAGATCCTCTCGTCACTGAAATAGATATCATGCTTCTTCTCACAGGGGAACTGCTGATAGGGCAGACAGGAGAAGGCCTCCAGTTTTTTCACGAACACCACCTGAGAACAACATGACAGTCAGAACGGAAAAAGTGTAGCTCATTTCATGCCACCTACACTCAAGTCTGTGGTGCACTGCTGAGGAATTATTTACAAGATTTATAGCCTGAGACAGGTTTTGGTAGAGTTTGGTAAAAGGGAACATTTGTAGGGGCTAATGTTGCTTGTGTATAGTTACCACTGCTCTCACAAAGATCTTATGTAATGTGATGGGTACCCTGTGGAATTATGTGAATGCATATGAAATCCAGGCAGTACAGAATATATATATATATGTGTGTGTGTGTACACACACACACACACACACACACACACAGTAGCAGTTCAACAGCAACGTCAAGCTGTAATAGTAGTTGACAATTAACTTTCCACATTTCACTTTACTTAAGTTGACAGCCTGCGTTTCTGCTGAAATGAGAGCTAGGCCCTGAGTATACCGTCCAGATGAGCTGACAGGCTGGCTGAAGTCCATTTAGCTATCGTTAGCTTTCTAAGAGGAACGAGTGGAAGAGGGGACTGAAACACAGACCCGTCAGTTACCTTTAAAGAAAACAATAACATTTAAATACACCGAGTAATAACAACTATTAAGCTCCCCACCACCGATGAACCGTAAACGTGTTCACGTTGGTTTGTTTGAGAGGTTACAGCTGACATGTTGTGCTGGCTATAATGCATTGACAGTTCATTAAATCACAAGTTAATTGTTAGATTTAATAAATGCCATACGGGCTGGTGGACTAGCATACTGTATTGCTCACTTGCCGAGGCCAAGTTGGTGGCTAACTCTACCTGACATAAGGTTGGGCCAACTAGCTAACCTACATTGATGGACTTGCTAATGTTAGCATGAGCTACCTTAGCTAAGCTAATAAAAGCGAGAAAAAAGTAGTCTGACCAGTTGTTAGACACCGCTGGCTCCTTTACTAGAAATGTTTCTGTTTTCTGGTTACTATGAACGCAGCTAAGATTGTATCACACAAATTCTAAAAAAAAATTCTCCATTAAAACCAACAGAATGATGCGGCCTAGCTAACAACACCAGGCGCCATCCCCGAGCCACAGTAGCGACGGAATGCCCACCTTGTCGAGCTCTTCCCGGCAGACGGCGCAGTACTTCTGGTCGCACAGCACCCTCATTTTGGTGGAGCAGCGGTAACAAACCGGGTGGTCGCATTTTCCTAAGGCGAAGATATCGACTTCTTGGCAGCACAGGACGCAGTGCTTCTCTGTTTCTTTTGTGACTGCTGAATCCATGGTGGTGAAAAGGCACAAATCAACTTTATATATATATAATGTGTTATTAGGGAGAGACACTGCCGCTGAAGTGCTTACGTAATTATGAAAGTCCGAGCTACTGCCGCGTCACGTAACTGTCGTACCACTGATCTGTATAGTATGTGGATGGACAATGCAGCCTCCGGCAAGGAGCTGCTTACGCCCATCACACGTATGTACATTTGCGCAGGCGGTCACGATCGATCCACGTGTATCCCATGGTGTGTGCTGGACACCGGTCCGAGCCTGAGGTCTGCGCTGATAGGAGCTACTGTACTTATTAACATGTGCTGTCTGTCATAAATATATACACTGGTAATTTCTAGATATTTATTATGTGTGTTATATCAGGTTAGAAGAGGAGAACATGTAATGGTAATATATCTATATATTATTCATATTATTTTTTAATTCCTGATGCTTTCTCGGACTTTGAGATGCATGATGGGGAAATTAAGCCTTGGTTTTTTTTGTATTTATGTAACCTTAGATAGCTGGAAAAAAGCTCACAATGGTTTAAAATTACGGATTTTGCTTATAGGTAGTGTAGACCCTTAGAAAAAAGATCTGATCCAACAGTTTCAGACTTCACAGGTCTCCTCTACACTGTAGACGTGTGTTGTTTTACAGCATATTCATTTTTATATGTGTTTTTTAAATTTAATTACATCTTTTGAATTAATGTGAATATTTAATTAAGACATTCAATTTTACTGGAAAAAGAAAGATAGGAGATGATCTGGTGGGGTCCAAAGGGACAAGTGTCCCTGTAAGAACAAATCAAAGTTTTCTTCAGGAACCAAAACAAACCAAGACTTACATATTGTTGTAAATAAAGTTGCTATCATTTTCATTTTAATAAACAGATTTAATCATTTTCTATGTCACATAACAATTCTACACCTTCCCAAGTTCCCATTTTCTTTTTTAAACCCCTCTTAATTGCAATGGGTTGTAGATACCTGTTAGTCTGTATTGACTTGAATATTTGAAATGAAGTGTTGTATAAATGATGGAACTTGGTTTTGGTGGTAAAACCTCTGATTGCACCACATGGTGACACATAGACCACTAATGATTGTGAATAAAATATCTATTTGTTGAATTTAACTCCTGCATTCAAGATTTAGCTTTAGTAACAGTAAACCTGTATTATCAGTAAAATGCAGTGAAGTATTTTTAGTTAAGCTCCTCTTTTACTTTACATTTATACACTGCCACTGGACCATAATGTCAGATAATTGAAGTTTCAACCCAACTCAACTCAGTCTAACTTAAGATAAACCTGATCAAAGTTCATCATCATCCTCAGAGTTCATCATTTATCTTATGTGTGGCCAAGCTGATACAAAACTGTTAAAACAACCACAAATGCCAACATCTTAGGTCAAGCAGACAGGAGAAATGATTTGACACCCTGATGTAAAGATAATTAAAAAATAGAGATTGTTTTTCTAATCAAGCTCAGTCTCTCTCTTGCTCTCCAGACCCTGTTAGGCTGGTGAATGGGAATGTGTTCAGGCAGAGTTGAGGTGAAGTCTAACCAGTCGTGGTCCACAGTATGCAGAGGTGGTCTGTAAAGAGCCCGACTGTGGGGAGGTGGACCGTCCAATTTGGACCAAAGGGTTCCAGTGTGACAGCCATGAGAGCTCAGGCTCAGCTAGAAACCTCCGATTAGGTTTTATTTCTGTTCAAATGCAACTCCAATTACATTCACTTTCAATAACGACTCTCCTGTTTTTGTTCAGAGCTTGATGATGTCGTGAGACCAGTAAATAACTGGGAGTGGACTCAGCAGCTGTGGTGTGTAGACAGCCAGACTGTGCTCTGCTGTTTCAACAGGAAGATAAAAGGTTTCCTCAAACAGGTCTGTACAGTGGATCAGCTTTGACTGTCTTCAGTCTGGATCTGCACTGAGGCAGTGTCTATTTTTAAATCCATATTTCTACAAGCTGGAGATGACCTGCCCAGGTGCCCTTAGCGACATCAGCTCTGACAGAAATAAGAAGTAACATCCATTTTATTATTTCAACAGGAGAAAATCAGCAGTTCATCCTCTAACATCTCTCTGTAGACTTGAATCAAACAGCTACATGTTAAAGTGACTTCAGCAGTTATAGGAGAAGTTTGGGTTTAATGGGAACAACACCTCCTCATGATGTGCGATGACTTTAAATCTGTTCCAGGATTTCCAACCTTTTTTGTCATCATCAAGATTTTTACAGAAGGTCAAAGTCAATGTTATTTTTATAGTATTTGCAGGATAAGGGCACCATTAGTTATATATTTCCAGGAAGTGTAAGTGTCCATCATGGGTGCTGTAAGCGGTGATTAATACAGTCACTTAGTGCTTTATTGTGGTCAAACGTCCGTGGTTATGAGGTGTCTTGCAAGCTAGTGTTTCTTGTAGTGGCTGTTGCTCAGTCCCATGACCTTGAAGGTGAAGCTGGCAATCTTCTCATAGAGAAGGAACATGAGGGCAGCAGTCAGCACCGTCTGCAGCAGCTTGGCCTCCAGGCCTTTAAACAGACCCAACATGCCATACTTCCTACAGAAGGAAACCAGGGTCAAAACATAAGAACTATGTTAAAAATGTGAAAGAGTAAAAGTCGTTAACATTTATTCATGTTTATGGTATATCAACTATTGTCCTCGGGCACACACAAAAGCTGAAAAAAGAGCTGCAAGAGATTTGGTATAGAAATACGAAAATGTTCTTGCACGGTGCCCACTGTTCAGACTACATGGAAATCTGATTTGTCTCTCAAATGAGAATGAGAGAAGTTTGACCGTCCAGTTATTTGCATGTGATCAGGCCATATTTGTGTATTCAGGGATCATCAACTCATCTACAACAGTTTCTGTATGCTCACTTGTGGTGCAGTTTTTCAAAAAAAGACCATAAGAGGAAGTTGTAGACCAGATAATGGAAACGTGTTCTCTAGCTCTTCATAGTAATATAGAGTCATGCTGATAATACATGTTCTAAGTCACGATGTGTCATTTTAAATAATGTAAAGGATTGTGTGAAACCTGATTCAAGAGGCCAAACTGAGACATACCAACTATAAATGGTTGAAAATGAATGGTTTAATTTGTATGTTGTCATCCAGATTGCCTAAACTGATTCTAATCTCGGTACGCCAAGAGCAGTTTGGGCAGCCAGTCTGAACACAGTAACAGTTGGTTTACCACATTTTATAACAAATCCCTTGTAATTCAACTGCTGAAAGAGCTCTGAGTCAAAATTCATCGAGTTATGCGCTATATCTAAAGAAAGGAGGTGAAATGGAGCCATAAATTAGATAAAGTTAAAACTGCAACCTTATTTAAAAACTGTTATACGTAATCTTATATGTAATATGTGTGTGTGTCTGCATGCGTGTACCCACCTGACTCTATTGACCAATAGACACTTGATAGTCCTTAGACTAGTCAGTAGTTTTGACTTGTCTGTTGACTCGTTGAATTGACCAAACTGTAGTGATTAAAAAAACAAACAAAAGTTGTTCTGAAAGCAGAATTTCTATGAGTGATTGTAGCATGTTTTCAATAATTCTGATGGCTTTGGTTTGTATACAAAACTCTTTGAGGAAACTTATAATTACACAGAAGAATTTCAAAGGACCAGTGTGTAGGATTTAGTGGGATCTCGTGGTGTTGTTGCAGTTTACAACCCCTCACCCTCCTGTTCCAAGCGTGTAGAAGAAACTACGGTGGCCGTGAAACTCACAAAAAAAGCAACAGATCCAATCTAGAGCTAGCGTTTGGTTTTTCCTTACTGAGCTAAAAAATGCTCATTCTAAGGTTACAAAAACAATGATTATTAATTTCAGGTGATTATACATGAATTATATTCGGTTTCTACTAATAAATCCTCCTAAATGTTACACCCTGGACCTTTAAGCAAACAACTCTTATTTTACATGCATAAACAAAGACCCACAGGCATAGGCACTCAAAACCTACCCTAAGAATGGACTGTATGGTCTGCAGTGGGTAGGTAACAGTGGTGGCAACAGCTTTGGCAACAGCACCGATGAGGAAGACCTCAACAGATGACAGCTTGGAGGGAAAAAGAAGAAAATGTGTCACATTTTTGTATAATTTCATATTATTAGTGGAACAGTGGCAGCATAAATGTCTTGTTTGAAGGGTATTCAGGGTTCAGGTGTCCACACTAACTGGTTAGGTGAATAGGAAACACTACCATGAGCATCAGATTGTACATACGCATACTACAAAGAGTTTTTCACTGGTTATGAAAAAGTATACTCATCAGTGAGAAGACTGTCTGTTTCTATATAGTTATTCTTAATGCCTGCCACCAGGTCAGAGTCCCTCTGATTCCCCCTTGAAATCAATGAAACACTACCACTTCTGAAAGTTCCTTGTTGGAGGGGCTTTAACTAACACATTTATCCACAATTGCTCAACAAAAATGTCATAATGCACGTGGTGTAAAATTGGGCCAAACTGTCTGCTTCTCTCACCTCTGCTTAAGCCACATGTGAACAGGATTACCAAGTGTCTGCATATCTGGTGTCTGCTCATCCAGATGATGGGATGACCTGAAGTGGCTTCCCTCCATTACTTTTTCATTAGTTAATTCCAAATGCATATGTGTGTTTTTTATTTATTCTATTCCCATAAAGTGGCACCTGTAATATTACTTATTTTTAAGTAGAAATCAATTCACACGTTTTAAAGGATTTCACCATGTGACACAATATTGGGATTTTCAAATTGTCAAACTTCTTATATCCTCTTTCTCCCTGCGTCTGCACTTTCTTACCCAGCATTACTTCCTCTAAAATGTTCATGCCCAGATTGCTCAACACATCTTTCCTTTCCTTTCCTTCATACGTTTGTATTCTCTTAATCTCTCCCTAATCTCTCTCAGTTTTACACTCACCTCCCTGGGAACTCCTCTCCTCAGCTGCCTTTTAAGGCCCTCATAAATCATGAATTGGATGGCGGGGTTCAGCACCAGCAGCAGGGACGGGAAGGTTCCGTTCCACAGTGCTCCCACACCTTCATCGCGGATGATCTGCACAAATGCATCTGCAAAAATAAAACGAACAAAAGACTGAA